GAAAATTCTATTTAATAGTGTAATGTTGGCAACAAATGGCAAGTTCTATAATTTTTCACAAGTATTTAAATTGTTGGCTCTTGCTCCAAATATGAGTTTCGTCCATGGATATGCCTTCCTGTGGTTTACTTCCTAAAATGAAATGACTCTAAATTGGGCATAAATTGATTAAATGGTAACACTCTAATATACTGAGGCTGTAGAACATAGAAGTCCAAGAAAACAGCATTTTACATAGAAATAATAAAGATTCAGTTCTAAAAGTTTGTATATTGAGCAAGTGCACCATAAAGCAAACTTGCTGCAATTAATAATAAGGGCCTGAAATAAAAGGGCAAGTGCTAGCACTGTTAGGGTGGTACGCAGAACAATAGCCCTCAAAGATGTCCATATTCCAATCACTGAAACTTGTGAATATGTTGTCTTACATGTAAAAAAGGACTTTGAAGATGTGGTTAAATTAAGGACATTGATATAGGGAGATTATCTTGTATTATCCATGTGGGCCTGATGTAGTTAATCACAAAGGTCCTCATAGGAGGGGGAAGAAGGGTCAGAGTCAGAGAAGGGGATGTAGTGATGAAAGAAGAGTCAGAGAAAGAGAAAAAGAGAGAGTTTTGAAGATGCTATACCTGGCTCTGAAGATGAGGAAGTAGTCACGAGCCATGGCGTGCAAGATACTCTGAGGAGATAGACATGTCAAGGAAACATCATATTCTCTCCTAGAGCCTCCACAACGAACACAGCCCAGCCGATACCTTGGTTTTAGTCCTTCTGGCCTCTAGATGCATAAAATAATAAATACGTGTTGTTTGAATGCACTGAATTTGTGGTAATTTGTTACAGCTGCAATAGGAAACTGACACAATTGGCCATACAAGAAAAGTAGCTTGGATGTACAAATTCTCACATACACACACACACACACGCACACACAGACTCTGTGAGAATAAGGCTACTGCATCACTAAATAATGTTAGTCACCAATCTTTTGTAGGAAATAGCTAAGATAGTACCCATTGTATATTCTTTGTACATTGTTCTAAGTGTGTAGAATAAAATGGAAACTCTTCCATTCTCATCAACAAAGTGTGCTGATCTGTTTACTTTCATCAGGTCACTAGTTTGAAAAACCAATGAACAGTAACAATAACCTGTAGTGTGTGCCCAATTCCTGAGCAGTGAACCAAGTTTCTAGTTTTCTACGTGTGCATTGGACTTTAATGTCTACAAAGCTAGAGTTCATTCTTATTACTCTTTCTACCCAGCACAGTTATGACACTGAATAGGTTCATTCAAAGTTTGTTGTGCTCAATTGAACAAGGTAATAAAAACTAAGTAAACAGTGTTTCTTACATAATTTTTGTTCAGTCTTTCTGAGTATGTATATTTTCTTATGTGTGTATATCCATGTGAATGTGTGTGTAAATGTATACGTGTGTGCCTCTCTGTCTGCAGATGACATTTGTGACTTTTTTCTTCTGTAGTAGTACAGAATTTCTTGTTTAAGGATAATATTTCACATTTATTAGATGCCTAACCAGAAGTATGAGTGAAGCCTCTGTTCATGACTTAAGGGAAAGAAAAACAAACTAGTTTTCACCAGAATCTTGCTCACGCACCATCCAGAACAATGGAGCGATGTCAATGCTTATTATAAGTTAAATGAGATTATATGATGATGATGATACAATAAAATTACTCCCCTTAGTTACTTTTTACTAAAGTGTTTATGAACAAGAAGTCAAAGCCTAAATGTGCATTTACAAGTGAAAAAAAAAATCTCATGATAAAAAAAGGATTGATTAAATCCATTAATATTCAGTCAATATATATTCCAGTCCACACAAAACCCATAAGCTCAAATGCCTGGGTTATTAAAGACACATGGTGGTAAACTGTGCATGATCATTGTCTGGTAATCTAGCTGCTCAAATAGCTCTAAAATGGAATGTAATAAATGAGATTAGCATTCTCATCTGAGTGCTAATATCTCATTGCAGTCCACGGCAGCCAAGGAAACCTCAAGGTTTGCTGCTGCTGGGAAGTGAAAGGATGTAGACTAAATAAAAAATGCTTACATTTTTAATGCATCACTTCTCCCCTACTAAGAACTGTCCAACTGCCCTCTCATTTTCTCCGTTAAAGTCCCAGTTCTGGTAGCTCTATTCCGTCTTCGGCAATAAGCAAGTGATTAATCAAACCCCAAGGAATGGTTCAAAGAAGTCCCTTTATAAGCCTGAGTCTGCAGCATAATTATAAGTCTTCTCTATCCTGCCATTTTTCTCGGGGCCTATGTGCTCACATATGTGCGGGGACAGTGACTGCCATCACGAAGAAGCTGGAACAGGTTTCTGAAAGGATTCCAAGACATTCTGCCCTCCCAGATCTCTTCCAGCTCTACCGCCCTTCTTAAAATTCTGTTTTGTTCCTCCTTATATTCTTTCTTCCTGTCTTTTGAATACAGCCCAATAAAACATTCTCTAGATGTCATAGCCTCTTCTGGGCCACAGTATTCTGGAGCAAAGAATCTGAGGGAGGAAAGAATTGGGGCTGTTGTTGCTATTTTCTGTTTGTATTTAAATCAATTTGACAATAAAATATCTGAATAGCTTGAATACAAATGTATAAGCCATTAAAAATGGTGAAAAATGAGAATAAAGCTTGTTTTCAAAAAGACTGAAATAAAGCAGAGCACAAATAAGAGAGGATAAAGTGGTAGCCAAACATAAAAAATTCTATTTTGCCATTGTAATCTGGATTGACAATTTTTTAAACCAGCACATATGTGAGGAAGGTGGAGAGAGAGAAACAATAGTTTAGTCAATCTGAACACTGAAATGCGGGTTTGGTTGATGAAAGTTACCTACAGACCCGCAGTCAAAGGCTGTAAGAGTGAACTGACCTATATGGCAGGGAGCAGGCAGATGGCCCCCATCACAGCAGACCCCTCCGCCACCCCCTGCTCACACATGTATGTGCCAGTGAGTTTTTAGTCATCCCTTATTTCTTCATCTAATTAACCTACCTAATCTGGAGCACAGTGCAAATGAAATTATTTCACCAAATGTTTTACATACAAAAGCCAAAACACATTTTATGCAGCCCTCCCTAGAGAGCTAAAATGAAAGACTTTCGTGACTATCTCTGTGTTAAAATGACCACCAAGCATAGAAGAAAAGACATTTTTAAAAACTCAATTAAAAAAACAGTTTCCATCTTGGAGAATAGTACTTATCCCTTAACATGGTCATATATGTATGCATGTGTAATACAGAATTCAGATATATTCAATGCTTTTTAAAATTATAGGAAAAATTAAATGCTAGGTGTATTCTCGGCCCACATCCCTCCCCATTCTACTCCACAGGCATATATCCCAGTATCAATGGGAACATCTTGCTGCTCAGAAGATGAATCTAGTGTTTAAATTACCTCTTTTTCGTAAACCACAGCTCTACACACCACCCACCTGCTTATTTTGGTGCTCAGTGAATGAATCAGTGATTGATTCTCCAGCAGGACTTTCAAAAAACTTGTTCAGAGGGCAAGGAAGCTCCTAGCATAGCTCAGGCTGGTCACCTTATCTCCTCTGAGACTCAGTGGACTCAGCTGATCAGGCTCCTAGAGCTGCCCATGGGTACCCCTGTTCCTACAGAACCACATAAGACAACTTCCGGAAAGAGTGAAAAACCACTGGGAAGGAGCTAGCACAGAAGTGGGGAGTGAACTGGACTGCTTGCCGGGCTGAAGCAGCTTCCCGTTCCACATGGCTGTCTGAGTTTGAACGGTCGTGGAGAAAGCCCCTCTGATGCTGCCAAGCAAAGGGATGGCACTGAGAGAGTGGTGAAGGGAGATTTCTCCAAGACACTTCACTAGCCTTTCTCTGCAGCTCTTCGGTTTTTCAATCTTTTCACTCTGTTTATCAGGAAAAATATTCTGTGGATATGACATCATAAAATTTGTTCTAATTCTTAGGTATTTCAAAGAAACCTGCTTAAAGGCCAGTTTAAAAAAAAGATGCATGGGGTTGACTATTGGTTAGAGTCCAGCACAATCAGCTGGAGAGTAGACATCTTGTCCATGATGGTACTTCTCCGGGATAGCTGCAAAGGCCGTACGGAGCCCTCTGTGGATGCTGTACCTGTCAGGTGAAGAAGCTGGGGCAGTAGGTGCAAGTCATCATTGGTAAGTGCCTTCACGGCCTTGTGTGAAGTCACTGCTCCTCCTAGGACCAGATAGAAAATGAATGTTGGCTTTATTTATTGGAAAAGATCAATGCCAAAGTGTAAGGGGCCTACAGATTTATGTGGCTAGGGCAAGCAGCAAATGCCTTCATTTGGAGTGAATTGGTAGTTTGATAGAATGATGGGAACGGAATGACTCAGAAAGTGTTAGTGCGAGCAGGGAAGCACAGAGGCCTAGTGGAGAGGTCTTGTAGAAGTTCTTGGCCTGAGGAACTGTGTAGAAGCTCAGAACTCAGCTACAGAAGAGGTCTTAGTGGCATGTCTTCTTGATCTCAGATGTGTGGTTTCTCAGAAAAACAGATCTGGATGTACTAGTTCCAACACTTCTGGAAAGAAAGGTGAGGACAAGACCTCAAGGAAGGAGGGATGAAGGGTCTAGTCAGATGCAACAGAGGCATTGCAACTGAAATAGTAATTCTTGACAGAAGAGTTAGACTTTTTCTGAGTTTGATGAAGTTACTATTGGCTATCCAAACAGGAGAGAGCTTCCTAGAGAGCCCCAAAGAAGAGTTCAAGAACCCCCAGGACTATAGAGACCACACAGGTACTGAAAATGAGTGAAGGAGGCCAGGTGTAAGACTATAAGGAGAGTTGCGGACTAAGGTGAACTGGAGAGTTCATGCCTATCTAGAGATGACAGTCTCTTGTTTGGTCCAGCAGGTTTTTGCCCCGAGGGAAGTATGGGTCCAGTATTTGCAGATTTTCTGATTTTTTTCAAGAAAAGAAGAAATCTAAATTTGGATGTGAAAGTTCCTGTTCTCTTTTTTAAATATTCGTTTCTTAATCAATTTTAATAACAAACAAACAAATACCATTATTTCTCCAGCATTGTGCAGGAGAAATAAAACCCCTGTGTCTGATGAGTGTTGAAAAAGGGTCACCACTTTGCTGTCTCATCCCTATTTTGGAAGGGTGTTGTCTTTGCTCAGGAGTGGGGTCTGTGTCACTGGGCCCTGGACGGGAGACTAACAAAACAGCAGCAGCTCCCGCAACAATCCTAACTCTTTCTCTGTGCTGTTGTTGTACAGGGCTCTCTGCTGAGACGTAGTAATGTGCGTTTGTCACTTTTGTCTACATCCTTATTTTCTTTGGGGTAACGGTTTAATCCACATTGTGTGCATATAGTGTTGGTAGAGAATAAGTCCAACCACCTTGATCTCATCCTATGAAAAGCCAAAAAGCTTCTCCCAAGAGATCCCCTCCCTCACCCTCTCATTGCCCCTGTAGAGGTCAAGGGTGGGCATGTTACCTAAATCTGGCCCATTGGACTTTCTCTCCTGAGATTTTGCATCTCAAGTAATGTAAGGACAAAACAAAACATTGGAGTTTGTTTATTCCAGCAATAAAGTTGAGGTGAAACTGTCAAGTGATTTCTTCTGTGAAGATCTTTGGTAAATGTCTGGTCTCTGCCTCTCCCAAGCCTGGTTCTTCAGCCTGCTCTTCCAGCCATATTCTTTGAAAATATCCCATGTTTGCTTAAGTTCCTCAGTTCTTCATAGTTTATTTCAGTTGCTTGCAGAGTCCTAGCTGCTACGCTCCCAGTGGAACCAACAGAGCAGTGGAGAAAAGGAGGGCACTCCGCCCAAAATTCTCTTCACCCTTTGGTAGATGTGTTCTTTTGTGCTTAAAACCATGGTCTCCAACGCCTTCTCAAAGGATGCTGCTGTGCAATTTCTGCCTTGTATTGTCAGTGGGGATGACGCCTCTGAGAACAGTCAGACTAGGGTCCCCAGAGCACTTCACACAGTGGAGCCTCCACAGCCAGGCCTGGTAAAACCAAGTAACAAAAGAGATGCAGGAGGATCAAGAAGGTGACATGGGGCAGAGGACATCTCGTATCCTGCCCAGCTCTGCTTTTCCCTCCTCATGGGTCCCTGTGATCTCTGAGAGACTCAGCATCAACTAGACAGTGAGCCTGTGGGGAGTGTTCACATCAGTGATTAAAACCCTGGGCCTTGCAGAAAGAGTCACTGGAGTTCAAATTCTGGATCTGCCACTTACTAGCTTTGAATCCCAGGGTGAGTTACTTCACATCTGAAGCCATTTTTCTTATCTGTAAAGGAGGAAAATAATGATCATCTCACTGAGCATTCTGGGAATTGGATGACATGAAGTGCTTACTATAGGTTCAGAACATGGTAGGGAATAGTAAATTAACTTGCAGTGGTGTGTAAGCTTCATGATATTGACAGCTTTTACAAAGTAGTCAAGTACAGAGCTAAAAGCTAAAGGTTCCAAGAAAATTATAGTCCCTTTTATGAGTTCAATCTAGTAGGAACCTCCTCTCATTCATTAAAGTGATGGAGGAAGGGGCTAATGAAAATAAACTTTTCCTAGAGCAAGAACAGACCCTCCTTTGTAGTTAAGGACCTGTTTATCAAAATCTATTCACAGTGTATTATTCTATCACATTGATTTTACAATCATATATACTTTTTTTTGCTTGAGGAAGATTGTCGCTGAGCTGACATCTGTGCCAATCTCCCTCTATTTTGTATGTGGGATGCCACCACAGCATGGCTTGATGAGCAGTATGTAGATCCACAACTGGGATCCAAACTGGTGAACCCTGGGCAGCAGAGGCAGAGTGCGTGAACTTAACCACACCACCACTGGGCCAGACCTGCATCATATTTTTAAATAAAACACTTTGATAATTAAAATATCAAAACTGCCACTGATAAATTTGGTTAAAGAGAACATAGCAAAATTGTGTTTCTAAATTTTAGCTGTGTATTATTATCACGTAGTGGGCCTCTTAAAAATATGGATTCCAAGGCTTACCTCAAATCAATCAAATCAACATCTTTAGGGTGGGACCCAGGCATGAGGGGTTTTGATAGGTCTCTGAGTGATTCCAATATAGATCCCAGGTTGAGATTTTTTTTTTTTGAGGAAGATTAGCCCTGAGCTAACATCTGCTGCCAATCCTCCTCTTTTTGCTGAGGAAGACTGGCCCTGAGCTAACATCCATGCCCATCTTCCTCTACTTTATATGTGGGACACCTACCACAGCATGGCTTGCCAAGCGGTGCCATGTCTGCATCTGGGATCCAAACCAGCAAACCCCAGGCCACCGAAGTGGAATGTGTGTAATTAACTGCTGCACCACCAGGCTAGCCCCAAAAACTTTTATATTAAGGTGAGAAAGGAGAAAACATTTTTAGCCCAACGTTACCTAAGCAATAGGAGATTTCAGAAATCAAAGGTAAATTAAAGTAATTTCAGGAAAAGTAACTTGCTTTTGAATTTCAAGCTTTAGATGGCTCTGAAAACAGCAGGATTAGCAATAGAAAAACTGTTATAAATGGAAAGCACCATTGTCATGTGGTAGTATGGATGTTCTGTAAATATCTGCACAGGACAGGTTGTAATGGTAAAATATACAGTTGAAATGCAGTTAAACTTGTCTACAAAGCACAAGTATGACTTCGATTCAGTAATTTCATCTCTATTTGAAAATCAGATCTGCCTAAATATTCATAATGGCAGTCTTTTCCCTTCACTAAGGTCAGGGTTTCTCAACTCCAGCACTATGGACATTTTAGGGGGGACAATTCTTCATTGTGGGGGGCTGTCCTGTGTGTTGTAGGATGTTTAGCAGCATCCCTGTCTTCTACCAATCAGAAGCCAGTGTCACCACCCCCCGCAGTTTTGATAGCCAGAAAAGTCTCCAGACATTACCTTATGTCCCTGGAGGCAAAATCACCCCTGTTGAGAACCACTGTGCTAAATGGACCACCACACACACGCAACTTCCATCAATATTTGCCTTAACTGGTTCCATTTAAACACATTTCCTGGACTGAAAATGAGAAATAGGGAAACAAAGACTGATTTCAATTTAAACAGTATTTGCTTCAAGAAAAAAAAAATTATAGACAAATTTTAGGAAAATGTTAGAACCCAGTTGTTCTAAAGAATAAGAATGCAGACTGCAGGAAAGGCTTGGCATTGAGTCCCCTTGAAAGAAACAGTATGGATTGTAGGAGAAAGAAAAACGGCTTGGCGTGTGGTGTAGATCTGAATGGCTGGAGCAGAGCTGGGGGGCACTTCAGTCAATTCAGTTCACCTTAGACCAACCTTGGCTCTTCAATGATGAGGGCTCCCAGATGCATATATTACAACGCAGAAGGCATATCATCATCGTGACCCCATAATTATGTCAAATTTTAGTTATGTCTGTGTAGATTATTGAACTCATTTCAATAAACACCCAATGAGCATCTGTTAAGTGCCAAGAATTATACTAAGTGCTCCGAATGCCAATATGAATACAAAATATTTCTGAACTTTAAAGACTTTACATTCTACCAGAGTAAGACCACAATTTAGACTTAAAATCTCTACCATTGCTTAATTTTTTGAATGTGGAATGTAAAGATTATTAAAAAGACATGAAGATTTCAGCAATCTTGTGGAAACTGGATTTAGTGATGCTATTTATCTGGGAGATGAGTTGGGCTCTGAAGGAAGGGCTAACCTTTACTGACACCTGTTTGCTGTGTTCCATACAGAGATTCATTTTGCTCTCATAATATTGTGAAGTGATATGATTCTCTCTCCCTTAAAAAACAGAACATTGAGATGCAGAGCAGTGAAGAAGTTTACCTAAGACGGCTCAGGATTGCACCTTGTATCTTTAAGGTGTCAAAACCCATGATCGTTCTTTTTTTTCAATTCTTATTTGGAAGTAACTGCAAATATATAGAAAATGGCAAAAATAAGAAAAGCACACAGAATACTTATGTCTCCTTTATGCAGACTCCCCTACTGTTAACAATTGGCCCCATTTGCTTTGCCACGCTCCTTCTCTTTCTCTTAATATATATACTTATATATATATATACATATGTATACACACACTTATACATACTTATATATATAAATGGAGAGATAACACATATTATATTGCATAAGCATTAATTATAAATACTATATGTATTATGTTTATACATTATATATTATATATTATGTTAATATATATTGTATATATAAAATGTTTTTCTTTAACCATTTGAAGTAAGTTGCATACGTAATGGCCATGTACCCCTAGATTTCTCAGTATGTGTTTCCTAAGAATAACCGTATCTTGCATCACTACAGTGCAGATATCCACTTCAGTAAATTTTAACATTAATACAATTAATTAATTAATACAATGCTTTTATGTAATTTCACAACCATACTCCAATTTTTTCAATTGACCCAATACTGTTCTTTATAGTAAAATTTCCCTCCACTATGGGTTCTAGTTCAGAATCAGGTATCTCATTTAGTTGTCATGCCTATTTCTTCTCCTTTGATCTGGAACATTTCCACAACCTTCCTTTGTGTGTGTGTGTGTGTGACACTGGCATTTTTGAGGAATACAGCTTCCTCCACTCTCCTTAGAATGTTCCTCATTTGGGGTTTGTCTGAGGTTTCTTCATGATTAGATTCAGGTGCATTACCAGCTGGAAGGCTGGAACAGTGAGGGGTATCTTTCCCAGGGCATTACATGGGAGGCAAATGATGACCTTCTGCCTTTTATTAGTGATGGCAATTTTGATGAAATTGTCAAAGTTTTGTCTATTTCTCCACAGTGTAGTTACTGTTTTTCCGCTTGCAATTACTAAACAACCTCCGGAAAGATATCTCATAATTATACAAATATCCTACTCTTCAAATTTTCTCCCTAGATTTAACATACTTTGATACTTTTCTGAACCAACTCCAGCACTCTCTCCACATTTACCCGTTGGCCCTTGCCATTCTACAGTAAGTAAAGCCTTCCTTTTTCTCTCATTTATTTATTTCTCTATTTACTTTTGGTTTAGAATTATGAATGATAAGTTTTTAGAAATTATGTGCAATTCATTACTGTCACTTGTTATTTGGGGGCATAAATTTTTCTATATTTGACCGGCAGGAGAGTCTTCAAGCTGGCCCAGTATCTTGTGACATGCTCCATCATTTTTTTGAACATGTCCTAATTTTTTGTCATAACAAAATGTTCCGGCCTCATCTTGTACCCACCCTGCCCCTATCTAGAAGTCCCGAATATTTGTAGTGAGAGTTGGATGATGTTAGAGAGCAAGATCTGGGGTAGTATGTACACTCACATATGCTGGGATGTTGTTGCTTCTAGAACTAGATGCTATCTAGAGCTATGCATGTATATATACATGTACAATTACATATACACATATAAATATACACATACAATTAACTACCTACATATATGTCACATAAACATATATGTGTGTATATACATATTATGGAAATAATGAGCCCACACCAATACCTTCAATTCCATTCCACCCCCACAAGATTCTTTTTTTCCTTCCCCCATTCCTTATTTAAATGTTCCTTTTTCCGTAGCAAGAACTCTGATCCCCAACAACATCAATATAGTTAGTTATTTGCTTAATCCTGTAATACATCTTAAATAGTTTCACAGTTGCTTTGCCCATACCATAACAAAAAATTCTACTAAAAAAGAGTTCAGGATTTGTTCAGTTTTCCCCACAAACACACTACTAAAGGTTGAAATGTGTTCATAAACTACATGAATTAGATTCTTCTTTTCCCTTTTCCCTTCGGTTTGGCTAAGATTTATTTGAAATACAGTTGTGTTTGCTTCCATTTTCTTTCGGTTTAAATTTTTTTTCCAAAAAGAGTTACAAAAACAAATGCCTAATATACAATTACTTTATTATAAATAACACTTTACAATGTAAAGAAATAGACTGTTTATATAAAACTGTTGGTTCTCCCTTGTTTTAAGAGAGCAAAATAAATTAACTGATATTAAAAATATGCTTTTTTGTTTTAGAAATGAGAAGTGACTTTCATTCTTGCCATTGAATGTTTTGACTGCGTGGGTCAGGATGATATTTACTTGCCCAAAGTTTCAATTAAATGGGGTCTTCTGAGGCCTCCTCTCTCTGAATAGAACTATTTTACACAAACTCCACTTTTCCACCAGGACACATGTGGGTCTGACTCAGGAATGTTTGCTGACAGGCTTAGGGTCTCATTGGCCCCTTTGGTTCTCCTAATTCAGAAACTATTAATAGTACAAACTTGGGTTAACTGACAGCATGTTATAAATGCAGCTGGTGTGATTTCTGGGTCTATCTGGGATGTCAGATAGTGTGGCATATTGTAAAAATTTTCAGATTTGGCATTTGACAGCCTTGGATTAAATTTTTATCTCCACGTCTTTAGGAAACGTCTATTTCCAAATCTACATAATTAAGTTCATTTTAAATATAAGAGAAAAATGTATCTTTCTCTTATACTCTTATTAATGTGTATATGTATCTATTAGACATTCATTGGTGCCATCTCTTTCCATCTCATCTCATCACTAATCTTAATCTCTCTTGGATAATTTCTAGGAAACAAAAATCACATGTTTTTAGGCCACACTTTGGTAAATCTATCTCCATATATAAGTATTTCCTGTGTTACATCCAAGAATTGCACAATATGGACAGACCTTACATTATCAGTACAACATTTAATTTCTTGAAATCACATAATTAAGACTAAGGAAATCTCACCTCATTTCCTCCTTGGGCTTTCCAAGCCCCATGATGATTAATTGTGGGGACATCATTTTCCTTCAGGGCCAATTGCAAGTTCAATCAAGAAGGATGTGGCCTATTCCCGAGATGCTGTCCAAAATTAATACAGGAAAGGTGTCATTTTCTTTCCTGGCACTCACCTGATAAACCCAGAGTGGGCCACTCAGTCTGCTGTCGCTGGGGCTGATCTGACCGGCAATATAATCTTGACTCAGCACATCACACACAAAGCAGAGTCAGCCAGGTTCCACAATCTCCAGGCAGAGACCTCACATACAAAGCATATGGAACAGAAAGAGTGTGGAGTCTTTGGGGTTTAAAAGACCCACTCTACTTCTCCTACCCCATTCGTCATCTTCAAAAGCTTTCATAAACTCTATGTTAGATTAGGTTCCCTGCTTGGCAGTAAAACTTTTCTTTTTTACTGAGTGTTCAATCTTTGGTTTCTCTAGTCGTTATTTTTTCTTTAATACACATCTATATACTAAAGGCTGCTAACCGTGAATACCATGATTCTCTTGGCCTGATGGCTTTTTCTTGGCTATGGGAGCAAGTTCAACTTCCACAGAGGCCAAGCCAGAAGTGCCCAAGAATTAATACTCCCCAAATCTGCCCTTGACCAATAATGGACAAGATATTAGTGATAAATACCTTAACTTCTATCCCCTTGGGTAACTCTGAGATAAGTTCTATAATGTCTCTCTGATTTTGCCAACAGGAATGAACTCTAATTGTCCGCCACGATCATTGGCTTCCCATGGCTTTTTCTCTCTTCCATGCCTGTGTCCTACTCTCCCACTGGTGTTTTCTCAGACTTGGCTCCACTCCCTAAATAAACTACTTACATTCAAAACCTTGCCTCAGGGTCTGCTTCCGGAGGCACCCAAACCAAGACAATTGTCTTTTCACAGGCTTTTCTAAAGGATGAGATAAAAAGAAGTTCAATCCTTACTGGCACGACTGGTTTTAGCTTCCAATCTTTGTGACAACTGATGACAAAAGTTAAAAGTACATTCTAAGAATAATTAATAATCGTCAGGCATCGGGAAGTTTAATTCCAAATATAAGAAAGGAAAATCATTCTATGTCTTCAGAAGCACTCAATTTACCTTATGAGATTGAACATACAACTTATTTTTCACCATCTGTATTTGAGAAGAACTTCAGGAAAAATGGTTAGGTATTTTCTCCACAGTTACATGAATAAAAGGGCTCAACAATTTTGTCAATTGTGGAAAGGAAGCTCTGCCCCAAAGGTTAATCCCATTCTCAGTTTCCAGAGGCAGAAAATTGCTGAAACTTTTAAATAACAGTCTTGCAGTGTCATACTTTCCTTTTAATGCTGCTGTTTTAAATATGTTTACAGACAGGGATTGAAACTTACCTATCTTTATTCACTTAGCATCTTGCAAGCTCTGATATGTTTAAGAAATATTTTAATCAAATTGAATGGAAATGGCTTCTCTGGAAAGTCTATAGTTAAATTTGCTACAGCAGCTAGTGCAACTTTGGGGGCCATAAGGTAAAGTAACAGCTGAGTTTTATTCAACTAGTTCTGAAGCCAGTCAACAATGAATGGATGAATAGATTTCAGATATATTATATTCAGATATATTCAGACTTAAAATCAAATGTAAAGGCTAAAACTGCAATTGAACAGTGCCATGATTTGTGAAACAATGTAAATAAGGATTATATATAGTTTCAAAAATCAGATTCTGGAGGTATGCAAAGATGATCTCACCAGATCTCATTTTTCTTGAATTAGTTGGTTAGTAGCATTAAATACGTCATGTTGAAAGTGATTCCAATAAATGGAAACTTAGGAAAAAGGTTTGCATAAACACACAATTAATGCACATTTGCAAATCATCAGGTATGTTATTGCTTTATTTATAAAACCTAAATGAACATTATAAACTCATAATATGGCATATATATGTATGGCATATACATACTTGTATGTATGCATATGTATATCCTGGTCATCTATTTGGGGAAAGAAATCTTATAGTGATATGGTATATGTCGGAATAGACTGTAAATGTTACTGATAATGAGGGTTTCTAGTTCTGTAGGGTATTAGTATGTGCCACAACCTTGTTACTTAAAACCATAAATGTATTTTTACCTAAGTATATCTAAGTTATGCTTTAGCTGCTCTACAAGAAACACATATTTTGTTCTCTATACCCAGACTTCCACCATGTTTATATGTTTTAACTCCATTACTTTCCCTGGTTCATTAATTTTATCACATAGAAGAATATTTGGTTGTATAGTTACAATTTGTGCATGTTACTACAAATATATTCTAGAATATTTCATTTTCCTAACGTTACAAATGTCAATGTTAATGAACATTTTAAGAATATATGGAAGTTACAGACAGATTATGTTCTTATGAAAGTGAAAGAGCTACCTAGGTATGGGTCTAATTCAGCCCTTTAAAAAGACTCATCATCTCAGACATTTTTAATACTGTTTTCAAAGAATGTACAACCAATAGGAAAACAAATATGAAAAGAGGATATTATTCTTTGGAAAATATAAATCAGGATCAAATTAGAGTGAATTCACAGGAAATGTATCAACACTGTAAGACACAAATTAAAACATATTTTAATTGGACTTCTGTAAAGAATAGAATGGACTTTCTAATAGAAAAAAAAATCACGAATCAGTGATAAATTACTAGACAAGATAAGAAATATACATATTGAAATGAAAATATTTTATTTCATTTGTTATGAATAAATAAATAGAAAACATATTTGTTTGTTAGGACCTTAGGCAAGAGGTAGAACATGCTGTGAGGACATTCAGAGCTGTGCTTTCCATAAATAAAGACGTTTGAAGACAAGTGTCCCTGCCTCTTCCTCTGCTCCCCAACACTGCATGCATAGGGCTCACACTGCCCTCATCGTTGTCATTTGCTGGGGAGAAGAGCCCTCTCACTAGCCTGGGAGCCCCTGCGGGGCAGCACTGAGCAGTCAGCCCTGTGTCTCTGTCATCGGAGCACAGGCTGTGCTCAGGCTTCCTAGACTGCTTACAGCTGAGTTGCAATTATTTTTCCCAGGACTTGTAAATGCATGATTTCCTAATTCTTGATGTACCCTCTACTATTAGGATATCACAAAATGGATGCACACTGTTATCCCATTAACATAAGAAAGAACACTGAAATTAGTTTTGAAAACAGCAACAATTCTATATTTGCAAGTTATAATGTACTAAAGCTCACTAATAATGTTGCCTCAAAAGTCTATTTTTTTCCTTCAAATTCAGTCTAATATATAAACCTACTTCCTGCTATGTTGTTTTCTTTTCATTCCTTTGAGGTCCATTCAGGGGCACAAGAAGGAGATGAGAGGTGGGAAGAAAGAAGTAAATATATTACCATACATCGAGCCTACATGATCTTGTATTGACAGTATAAACTTGGAGCTCTTCTTCAGTAGGTATATTTGGTTCTGCCTTCATCTTATGCTGTCCAAATGGGCTAGAGGCACAAGAACAATTCCTGCTTAGTTCCTATTAGAGAGATCTCATTGTTCATTACCCAAGAAAAACAAAGACATTCTTGTTTTTGTTAGCATATCACTTTCATTTTCCTAATTTTCACTTTCCAGAATTTTTAATTCCCTATTTTTCATTACTTATTCAAGAACATGCAAGTAAAGCACTTATTATAACTATAGCCTTCCTGAAATCTACTTCTCTTTCAAAAGGAGGAAATACAGATTTACATGATATGTTTGATTTCTTGACCTCTTTTAAAGCCACAGCATAGAATGAATATGAATTAATAATGATTTTAATGATTATCCCAGCTTCTGTCTTCACGAGAAGGTAAGTGCAGGGTCAGTTTGGAAAACTGATGTATCCAATAGACATTTTTGTCCTTTGATGCCATTTGGACTTACCACGGAATAATTCAGCACTGGTGATTTAATATGAAAATGTTGTGCACATTTTGACTGGATTTCCCATTTTCAGTATTGAAAAGCCACATCAATCATTCCATTAGTGAAAGGGGATTATACTTTAGAACATGAAATTTGTTTTGAAGACAGAGTAGAGAGAATTAAGTGTATTGTTAAGTATTCTTCCTTTGATATAAGTGTAAATTGTTGACACATGGAGAGAAAGGATGCCACATTGCAGATCATTCTTGTTGGCTGAAGCACATACTGAAGTATCACTTTTTAACAATTAAGAAATTAGCACTAACAATTATGTGTCATTTCTTCGCTAGATTAGTTCAGCATGATTAGTTTATGCCTAATTAAGGGCCTAAATCAGCAAAGAATGTCTGGCTTTAGCCTGAGGGAAATTCCTGTAGGCCACTTTCTAAGCTTTCTCTACTTAAATTAGAAGGTAATTCAATTTTAAGTGATGATCTGAAAGAACTCTACTATTTCACCTTTCTCTCATTTCAAATAAATGTTTGATTTCTATTTCCTATTTTTTCCCATGTTGTCCTTTTAACTTGTAAAAAAAAGAAAAGAGAGACTACGTAAAGTTGAAGAAACATTTCCTCACGTTTGTATAGTCTCTCTTTTCCTTTCCAACAGGCCCTCATTCTCTATAATTTCAAATTCCTTAGAAAATCTTTTAAAACTGAAATCTCCAACTCAGGACCAAGACCACGCCCTTTCTCCCAGTAAAGAGAAAGTAAACATTTCGTTTGATATATTTCAAAGCGTTTTATTGATTCTTGAATTGAATATTTTTTGACTATTAAAAAATATCAATTGGACAGTTAGAGACAAGATTGCCAGAAAAATAAAACAAAGCAATAAATTATATATATATATATATATACACACACTACATATGTATGTGCATATGTATACCTATACACTATATATGTATATATACGCACACACTCTATATGTACATGTATATAAGGCATGGGCACACACACATATGGAACTTATCATGCTGTATATTCTTACATGCATTATATCATAATATTATCTCCATTTTACAGCTGAGGAAACTGGAAACTGAAGCTTAGAAGTGTTTATTAACTTTCACACAGTCATACCGCCAGTAAAATGGCTGAGGCACAAAGTAAAGAAAACAGGACAGACTAACGTAAAGTAAAGGTCAAAAGAGTGCAAGTAAAATTCCTAATTTAATGTTGCCTTTATGATTAGTTATGCCCTTTCAAAACTAATTTAACCCTAAAGGAATGTCTTATTCAAAAATCTAAAACAAATGGCTCTTACAGTTTATCAAAAATAAGAAAAAGGTTTTTGAGGTGAAATTTTTATTTTTCTTTTGACATTTCTTTGCATGACAAATTTAGAAAATATGACCAAAAGGAAAGCTGTTTTCCCTAAAAGAGAGAAATGAAAAACTCCTATGATATCAACAGGGTTAAAGAAAGAAGTGGGGAAACCTCGATTTTGCGGACTTATAATCAGCAATGCCTATACATTAGAAACTACTTACAAGAAATTTTCCATGTTTAGCTAAAACTAGTTTTATCCTCCTCCAAAATCCAAGGTTGAAATCAACAACTTCTAAGCAATAAAAACAAAAGAAAACTAGAAGAGGAAACAGAAAAAAAGCAAGCTCTATTTCTTTAATTAGAAGGCAAACTTGGAAGAGGAAAAATGTCTTTATAGCCACCACATATTAATCCTCGAGGCTCCCCTTCACTTGAAATTTATTTATTTGGTTTGCTGGAGTAGGCTTGGGTTAAATGCTCCCCAACCCACGAGCATAACTGAGCAAGAAGGCAGTTGGTTCCTTTTTCTCTGAGAAAGTAGAAAACTAAAATGAACCAGGTTAAAATCCGAAGATGTGCTTCTCTCTTCCCGCTGCAGAATTTACCTTCAACCTGCTTTTCAAACACCTTTGATCGACTGGCTACAGTTGCTGGAGCAGGGGTGGGTTACAGAAATGCTGTATTGTTGATGACAGCTGACGCATTGCTCTAATTTTGCTTAGTTTTTCAAATACATTTATTACTGGGGGAACAGTGTTGGAAATCGTTTTCATATTTCTTGAAGACTGATGTGTTAAAGCACAGGAATGTGTAAGTACATATATACATGTGTATATATTCATATATAAATATTTATACATACACCCATATCCGTGTATATAATCTAAGATATATACACTGTTGGTAGTTGGATTTTGTCATGGACAATGCTTTGATCCTGGGATCCCTGAAGATCCAAATAGTACAGAAGACAGTATACACCCATGTAAAACCATTAACAACAACTCAAATAATTAGAGTAAAAAAAAAGTCAGAAGGGATCGAAGGAAATTAGAGCTTTGACCTGAAAAGACTTTTATACTATTTTATTTATCTCCCCTTGAAGTGGAATTTTACCTGGAGAACATAAAGTCTGGATTGGTTTTTATGAGCATTGCTGCCATATGTGCAGAAAATACACACAGCAAAAACGTATTGCAACATATATTTATTAGCATCAAACTATTTCCTGATGAGGAAGAAATAGATTCTCTCAACTTCATATATATAATAGATCAACATAATAGAATATTTATTCTATTAACCTTTTTAAAAATTATTTGTTGATGATACTTATCAAAAGGCTGATTTCCTGGTTTTCATTTTAAAGGACTTATAGGGCAATTTCCACTTTATATTGATAATCATAGAATAAAAGGATTCTTATATTTGAGGAACAGACCAAAAAATCATATATTTACTTATTTCATACTTACAACTTACATGGCTAGAAAATATTTCTACAATGTTTTACCATTTTTATATCCTCTTCAGAAAACATCCTATCCTTTTAAACCAGTGCAACAAAGCTTATCTTTGTTCTTCACAAGGGTTGTAATTTTAAACTGCCTTGTTTCCCCTTTCACAATACCTGTATTTCCACCAAGTTTTGAACAAGGGGGTTGGGGGGCTGGGGAACAATGGCTTATTTATTTTACCCAGAGCCTTTCACCTATTAAAAAGTCCCACAGAATTGAGAATTGACCCTGAGGATTAGGTTATAGCCAAATTCCAATGGGCTCTTTTTTTAAGCAGGAGTTTTGCAATGCAAATGATCACTAAAACTATTATGTGTTTTAACTGAAATATACTACTTTGGATCACAATATTATTGAAAGAAAGGAAGGAAGAAAAGGAGGAAAAAAAACATTTATTTTGGGAATATGGGATTAAAATGCGCTTCAAATAATGTTATTTTTATCCTACCTTTTCTCAGTCTGACTTAGAAAGCTATTTATAATATGGTATTGACCATTTCAGGCATCCGAATAGAGGACCTTATAATGACGTTTCTACTCTATAGTAGTATTCAATATTCATTTGATTTAAGAGCATTATCTAGTGAACACAACTACTTTATAATGGATGAATCAATGATTTATGTTGAACCAAAATATTCATCAATTAATAATAAAGAATACTGTCTGCTCTTTCAGAAACAAAATGAACAACAAATAAACACATGGAGACACACACACAAACATAAAACATCAAAATCTGGTCTTTCTCCTTTGTCTCTGACAGTGGGCAATGTCTAAGATATTAAAGAGGAATATTAATCCTTAATGAGGAGAATGATATGATTGTGAAATAGAGAAGTAGTCCCTGGCCTGAGCTGCTGATCTGGTTATGTTATTGGAAAAGATGGTTGCCTCTTCAAATATTATTCTAAGTAAAATTATAGTTATCCAAATAAATGGCTAATCACTTTTCTCAAACTGGTTATTAATAATTTATAGAGCAACAAGTGTTAATAAAAACAGGATAAAAAGTTTCCATAGTCATTGCCAATTATTGAATTTGAGAAAATGTTTGGGTAAATTCTTTATTTTCTGGACAATATATACCCTTAGGAAAAATGTCTTAAAAAACCTAATTAAAATAGGGAATCTCATGAAATATGCAATAATATAATAATCTAATTAACTACCAATAAATAAACACTTTTTATGAAGTGAGTTATGGCTGCTTCAAGAGCCATGTCCTAGGACTCAGAGCAATACCTCAGGTCTAAAAAGGACTGTAAAAGTAACATAAGCATTTGCCTGTCTGATTTTGTCCCCAAGGATGGAAGGAATTGGGTTAAATACAGGTGTAATGATCTTGACTTGGATCATAAACTAAAGCTCCATGAGATCAGGAACATTTCTCTTACATTTGTTGTTTCCCAATACCTAATACAGTGTCTAGCACATGGTCGACGGAATCAAAGGTGTCTGTGGTCATTTGTAAGGTCCCTGAATTAAGAATTAAAGGTCCCTGTACACTTGAGACTGTGTGGGGTAAGAGCCCCACCAATGACATAAAGGAGACTTGAGAGGGGAATCTCACAGAAGGTCTCAGTGGCCCACAAAATACCTTCTAATTCCGGAACATACCAGTTTGCGATGTCCACTATTTAAACATGGCTGGATATAAGTGTGTAGATAATGTGAATAAATGTTACCTTTTATATTATGGGGTCAGACAGTAATTCCCAACAAATCCTTATATCTTTTTCA